TTTTTATTAATATTATTAATTATTTTATTATTATAAAATAACATAATATTTACATGCGTTTAATTTATTATTATTTTATTACTTTTTATCACTTTTTAACGATAACAAAATTTTCTAATAATTTTTTAATAGAAGGGTCTACAAGTGCCCTTTTTTTTCCTCAATTAGTACACCGTTGAGGCCGATTCTCAAGTGCGTTCGTGAAAAAAAGCGTCCCGTCTAGCAACACTGACTCGCGGCCTGCATCGTGCTCGTGTTTATTGTGATTGCATCAGCTAATCGCTATTGGCCAATCATGGCTAATCTTCATGCGCCGTGAACGTTAAGCGCAGCAAACAATTGACGCAAGCCGACGCGCTAGAAAAATCGCGCGGGATCGCAGATCGCAGTGGCTGCCAGCCTGTCAGTGCATGATGGTGTGGTGCGTGATACGAATTTCGTGTGTGATCTATATAAGTTATGTGTATATTTTTAAAATGCATTCATATATATATATTTATAGATATACGGTTCATAAAAAAACCGAGATAAAAATGTCTTATCAACGATATTTATATCCGGGTTCCACTCAAAATGTTCCACGAACAACGGCATATCGGAAACGAAAACGAGAACAGGCCAGTAAAAGTGAAATAATTGAAATAAATGCAGGTGAGCACTTAGCTTTTCGAAATGAATATCATTGAAGGCTACTTTTTTATCAAAACTGCGTTACAAACTATTAAATTAACATTTTTTATATGGATTTTGCACTTGTTCAATCATCCTCTTTATCATTTACATTTGTATATACATATAGGATCTGCAAACTTATTGGATGACTTGAATTATGATATCGAGGATGGCGGATTATACGATCAACAATTATCTTTTGACGAAGGTGCAATCACAGCTGCGGAATTAAATGCCAATCGTGATCGAATGTGTGTGTGTGTAAGTACTTATAAATTGTAAAATTTACAATTTGTCTTGCCAACAATAATGATATTCAATTTTGACAATGTTGCCTATAGTGTTTTCGAAACATTAATTATTGAATAACATTGTAAATATAACTTATGGATGCAGACTACACCTGATTTGGACGAATTGAATTATAATATCGAGAGTGATGGATTGTGCCGAATGAAGAATTATATGATAACAATATCGAGGATGATAGATTGTTGAACG